CCCCCCCCCACCCGTGGGCACATGCGATAGTTAACCTTCTGGACCAGCTCTGGGTGGGGAAGGGGCCATAGCCCTGAAAGAAATAGAATTTATGGCTTGGGAGGGGCAGCTTGGACCTGGGGCAGGAAGTAGGGGAGGGTGCCTCGGTTTTCCTTCAAGAGGGGGGATGGCAGGTGGGTTCTAGGTGCCAGATTGACCAGCTTCTGCCCTGCCCCGCCCCCCAGGCCTTCTCTGCCTTTGCTGGCCTGACCATCAAGTCCCTGGCAGACATTGAGGAAGAGGTGAGTGCTGGGGGAGGGTGCTGGAGCCCCCACGCGCTCTCCCTTACCCTCCCTTGCACCCAAACTGCCCGTAGTCATTCACTCAGCTCCGATACCCCCCCCCCAACCAGTATAACTACGGTTTCGTGGTGGAGAAGACAGCGGCGGCTCGCCTGCCCCCCAGCGTGTCCTAGCCCCTCGCCGTCCCAGGAGCCCCTGCCTGGCGTGACAGCCCGCGCCCCAAGCCTGGGCCGCCAAGGAGCCATCGCCTCAGTGTCATGGGGACTTTGTGTCTCATCTCGGCTCTCAGGAGACCCCTGTTGTTGCCTCAGCCCTGGTGGGGGCGGGGGGCACGGCTCTGGGGAAGGGGCCCTCTGCTGGCCCTGAGCCCCCGGGGTAGAGAGGGGTTTGGGGACAGAAACAGTGCCTTCTGAGTCATTTGTCAAACTCGCTGTGCCAGGGTGCCAGGGAAGAGTGCCTCTATAATAAACCGCTCTGCCCTGCCGGCCAGAGTCCTGCTCCCCACCATCCACACCTCCCCTCCCGCAGGACCCCGACCCTGGGGGGCACTAGGGAAGGCAGTGATTGTATTGTGGGCCAGGGTCCTGCTCCCGACCTCGGCCTCAGTCCCATATCCCACACCCCCACACTGCAGGACCCTGACCCTGGGGTCACAGAGCCCCCTCGGCACCAGAGAAGGCGGTATTCACAGGGAAACTGAGGCTCTGAGAGGGCCAGGCCAGCAGTTCTGGGTGGCAGAGAAACAAGAGCAGTGACAAGGAGGGATGGAGCGTGGTAACTAACGGCCATCTGCTGCTAGACCGAGTCTCCGAGTCCTGCAGACCCCGCGCCCAGGCTCTAGGGGAGGGTGGAGGAGGAGCCTGCCGCCCCCCTTCAGCCTTTCCTGGGCTTGCAGCCGCCCCCTCCCGCCCCTGCCTCCTGGGCACGGCCGCCATCCCTGTGTCTGTGCCCCCCCTTGCACGAGGGCCCACCCTACTCCTGTGCCACGGGCTCCAAACGGGTTTGGCTTACTGCCCCCTTCTCAGTGCCCCACTCAATGAAACACTTGTACCAGGATCAAGTATAGCTATCCGCCTTTGGAGTCCCCCGCCCCACACCCCTGAGGGAGCCTTGTTTCCCATTCTGGGAAACCCTGTTAGCCGAGCCACAAGTTCAAAGGCCTGGTTTCCAAACAAGGTCACCTTCGAAGCTGCCAGGGTTGGGGCTGGAGTACCCTTTGCCAGCGTGGTGGTGTGTGCGTCACAGACGTCAGTAGAACTATACCTCGGGATGATCTTAAACCTCCACCTTTGGATGAGCAGCTGAGCCGTTTGCACCCCCAGGATCCCGATCGCATTTGGTTGGATGGAACCCCACGAGGGCAGGGGGGCCCAGGTTCTGCTGCAGGCACACCTGGATCTTAGAGGCTTGTTTCCTCTGGCAGCCAAGGGAGGGAGCCAAGCTCTGCTACTTGGTCTGGCTTGGGGACTGTCACCTACCTCCAGGGAGGAGGCGGGGCAGGGCAGACTCAGAAGGACTGGGACGCCCTGACTTGAAAAAGGGCCAAGTCCTACTTATAGCTCATTGGTCAGAGGGGTCATGTGCCCAGGAAGGGCCGTATGAGCCACCCAGGCGTGGAAACCCGCTAGCGGGACTGGGAGGGGGCAGGCAGATGGCAAGGTCTGCCCTGGGTGACGAAGTGGGGTGTATGTGCATAGCCTGACTTGGAAGTCTAAGGGCGGGAAGAAGGTCAGCAGCCTAGGGAGACTGAGGGTGGAGACACATCCTGCCCTGGAGATCTGAGAGAGGAGATAGGGTTGAGGGAGGAGCCAAGGTCTCCCCTGGGAGCCAAAGGAGGGAGACACAGCCTATCCTGGGGGTCTGAGCAGGGAAATTGGCCCACCCTGATGATCTTAGGGCATATATAAGATCATGCCTTTGAGTCTAATGAGAGTGTCTATGAGGCGAGGTGGCCCCAACCTTGGGGTCTGCCGGGATATGCCCATTTGGGGAGATAAGGCCCGAACTGGGGGACGTGAAGGAGACTTGGGCCCAGTCTGGGCTGGGAGGACAGCACACTGTTTCGGACCGTTGGGAGGGAGGGGGGCAGGGGATATGCAAATTATGCCCTTCCCCAAACGCTCCAGAAGTCCCCCCTCTCCTGTCCCCCATCTAGTCACCCATGCACCCTTCCCTGCCTGGCTGGCGCCACTGCACCACCTGATCTGATCGGCAGGGAAGTAAAGGCCGATTGTTCGCCTGGCCGCCCCAAAAAACAGCCCGGATCACTTTCCAGGATGGCCACTTGTGACCGGGCCCCCAGAGGACTGTCCTGGCAGTCACTCATTGCTGCATTCTCTCCACCCTCTGAGGGCAGCCCCCCTTACAGGGAGCCGCCCACCAGTCCTGATGGGCCACTTTCATCCTAGACCCCACAGCCCTGGGAGGTTTGGGGTACAGAGCTGAGCTGGCACAGGATGAACACCCTGGCTGTCTCGCCTGGCACCCAAAGAGGGCATGATCTTTCCTATTGTTGGCTAGCTCCTGGGCGCTGGGTACCAAGTGGATCTTTCTGCAGATTCAGCCTCTCCATCATCGCTGCTCACGAGCTGGTGACTGGGCAAATGGCGCAGCCACTCTGGGCCTTCTTTCTCATCTTTAGAATGGAAATTGCCACTGCCCTCACCCTGCAGGGCAGTAGGGCAGCCCCTCCTGAGCATCACAAACACATTTCGTGGCTCTGAAAGGCTTTGAAGTTGGGCCGCGTCTGCAGCCGGAGGTCTGAGAGCACATGCGTCCTGTGTGCAAATACTGCTGAGCCCAGCCAGGGCCCCCAATCAGAGCTGTGACCTGTGCCTGCGCTGAGCCTTCCAATTCCAGTCTGTTTCCTTTGAGCCTCAGCCTCACTCGCTGCCATCAAGACATTCCAATCTGCAGCACCTCAAACTGCCTCTGTGGGCTTCTGAGACTGTCACTTTTGAGAGGACTGAAGAAAACAAACCACCTTGTTTTTTTCCGGGGGAGCGGCTGGTGGAGTCAGCTGCTGACCTTGCGGGTAACAAGGTGTTGTGTTGAGCCTGGTATCATGGCGCTGGCAGCAACCCCCGGAGATGAGCGTGGGGGGTTCAAGGGTGGTGGTTGGCCCACGGCAGGCCCCTAAATCCCTCCATGTGTGGTTGCACATGGTCGATGCCTCCCCTCCACCTGCTGCAAACCTCGGGGTGTCATCCCCCTGCCCCACTTTCCAGTTGCCTGTGCATCTCCTCTGAGGAAGACCACCCAGGACAGGCACCTGCAGCTCTGCCAAAGGGCACTTCTGGCAGCAGGAGCGTGTCCACCCCCTGCTCAGGGAAAGCAGAAAGCTCCAGGACTTAACCTCCCCACCCCAGAAGTGGCTCTCACCCAGCCTGACCGGAG